CGTACGGAAGCAGTTTCTGCAGAGAGCAAAATAATCGGAAAAGAAGGAGGAATTTTTTTTTCGATTGTGAAAATTCTTCATTTTCAGATGACACACGATTTAATGAAAATTGTTTTTAGGGACATGATTTTGTGGATTAATGAGGGGGATTGGAGGAAGTTTGACTGGCTGTCATGTGGAGGTTTTGAATTTCAAGGGGATAACAGCATAATGAGGATAGTTTTGATGAGAAATGATGAGGAAAATTGTCTTGACAACCTTTATAAGTTTAGAAATGGACATCACTTGTGGATGGCTCCTTTAAAACAGGCTTTGATCCATTATTAATACAAATTAGAATTAACAGATCAGAAATGTTCCAAAAAATCTTATTTCTCACGTGAGTTTGAATCTCAAAAATTAAAGTTATGAAATTATGTCTTCTATCGAGCTTTGTACCATTCGTTTTTTGTCCATAAATGCGCCACGAACCTCACCAACCGATCATAACAAGCCAACATCAAATCTTCCTTTTTTTACACAGAAAAATTTCATTTTTTTCCCATTTTCTCTCCTTGTTTTTTCATTCGAATCATCATTGATCTGCAATAGACAGACACGAACATTCATTTAATTTCGCTTCAGCATCGCATCTCATCTCATGCGGACATTAAACTCCCTATCCATTCTATATTGTTATGCTTGAATGTATATCATCCGTATATGAGATAGCAATTTTCAATTGTACATAATTTTCATTCTTTCCAATCATTCTGCTGTCGTTGAAAAGGGGATGGATAGTCTTTAAGGATATTTCTTTATAGTAAATTAGACATGTCATGTTACACAGTTACTCGTCCTTTCACATCTCATATGACCATTACACTGTACACAACCGTACGCACATTTATCTCTGGCATATTAACAATTTTATTGATGTTGTTCCTTTTTCATATATTTATATTTTTTTTTTCAAATATGTGTATTGGTTGTAAGTAGAAGAGCAACGATGATGATGATGATGACTATGGCAAGCGTACGGGCAGTATGTGTATCCCACAAAACAATACAACAAAATGCATAGAGTACAATTTGGTATTGCATCGTTATCTTGCACAAATATCGATAACTTTGACTGCATAACAGGACATAGGCAAGGGAGTTTATTCAGACATGAAAAACACAAAAATACAAATTCTAATTAAACATTTTACAGTTTTTGATAGTCATACACGACGAAGTCAAAAGGAATATTTGATATTTGTGTACGTGCGTGTTAGTATGGACTGTGAGTTGGTAAAATTAGAAAATTGGCCGATATGAAAATATTTGCTGAAGATTTTTCAGCATCGATTATGCGATTTCTAGCTCAATGAAGCTTAATACTGTTTGGAGATGTAGTGAGGTTTGTGATTTTTGATTTGATTTTATTTTTATGAAAATTGTTTAAATTATTATTAAAGTTGAAAGCTATTGCGACATTTAAAGGAAAAGAACTTTTTGAATTTGAGTTTTATGATATTTAAGTATGGACAGGGGCGTTGCCAGGAATTTGAAGAGGGGGGGGGGACAAAAAAATTATATGGAAATTCTGAGGGTATGGGGGGATTTATATGATTTTTTCAATCACAAAATGAAGAAATTTCTGTGAACGTCGGAGGATTTGTTCCCTAAATCCCTCCGCCCCCCCCCCCCATCCCCCTATTTACGTGCCAGAGTATGGACATTAAGTATCTTCATTGCTGATTATGAGGGCATAAAGTCATATAAATAGTAAAATGAAAATTGATAAATAATAATACTTAGACAAAAGCAGATGTTCAAATCCTAATAATCAGAAGATACTAGATTTATAGTAAAGAGACTTAATGATGGGCTGGACATGTTATGAGGAGGAACCTGTGGAAAATCAATCAACTAAGGACTTAAATCTGATTTTGTGGATGGCAAAAGAGCACGTGTAAGGCCAAAGAACTAATGGAAAGAGAATGTTGATAGAAACAGCATTTGGAATTAGGAATTGGCAAGTGGTAGCCAGCAATAGAGCCAGTTTCAGGCGGCATCTCTGTACGGTCATCAAAGTAAATAAGGAAGAGTAAGTAAAGTAAATATTGAAATTTTGTGACCCCACATCCCATCCCCACCCCCCTTATCCTAAAGAATATGACTAAGACATGAAAATTTAAAGTTTTCTTTAAAGTATATTCTAGCCTTTATAAAAACACACAACTACAAGCAATACTTAATATACGACACGATAACACCCACCAATCCCCTATCATCCATTCATTTTCATATCGAATATGAATCCTCATATTTTATTATATACTTTTTTTCCATCCACATAAAAATAATATGTAGACAATAAAAATGAAAGGCACGAAGAAGAAAAGAAGAAGTAAGGAAAAGTGGGTGAGTGAGTGCGAGCGAGAACGGATGGAAAGAAAAATTATTATCTTTATATGTGTGTGCACAGCAGAAAGGGAAGAAGAAAAAAAAATAAAAATGTTCATTGAATCTTTATTTCTCCGACTGTACGTACGTATACATATCTACAAGCTACTATAAAAAAAGGAAAAAATATTTTTATCGAGGGTTGTGCAATTTTTTTCTCTTTCTTACTCACTCACTCTCCGGGTTTACCCTCTCGGAACCAATAATATCTCTCTGACTGGCTTTAGCTTCGGAATATGAAATGAAAATCTACAAAAATTATGAAATATATATATTTTTTCTGACCGCACTTGCGCATATCCTTTTTATGTCCCACATCCTTTTCTCCATGTTCTTTCTGCCTTCTTTTTCGATTGCTATGTGCTGTACTGGAATCACCTATGGCTTACGAGAAAGTTATGAGTGGCGATATCATAAATTTATTTTCATCTTTTTTGCAGCTACCAACACTAAGGTATGCTTTATTATTATGACGATTTTTCCTTCGTCCTGCTTTTTGCTATAATCCACATGAGCACATGAACAATTGTAGAAGGATTTAACTTTTATTTATGCAAATTAGAAATGCTATTTGTAAAAAAAATTGAGTTTAGTAAAATGTGTGGAAGGAACTAGAGATTGTGGCGCATTTACTAAGGCTAAAGCTTTTAAATATTGAAAATAAAAAAGACAACCGACAGCTTGAATACTATATTAATAGAAGATCGAAACTTTTGGGAATTGAACCCTTGAACTATCCGAATTTTGAACAGTTGAATTTAATAAGGGGACGTTCACTTATTACGTTCGCATTTTAGGGGGGAGGGGGGTTTGAAAAATTGTAACAAAATGTAACATTGGGGGGGGGGGGGGGGGTGTCAAGAAGTATGTAACGTTCTAAGTGTCTTTTTAAAAAAGTTCAAGTTTAAAGAAAAGTTAAAAAGCTTTTTTTTTAATTTTTCACCTTTTTAATGATAAAATAAATTATGAACGTTCAGGGGGAGGGGGGGGGGGGGTGAGTTGTAACATATTTTGCGTAACGTAATAAGTGAACCTAAGTTGATTAGGTTTTATGAAACGTACATTACAAATAGGATTAGGGGCCATTCTTTTATGACGTCTAGAAGGGGGGGGGGGGGTCAGCAAGAAAAGAACAATAGAAAATCCTGGAAATCCAATACTCTATTTTGAAAAAATAACCGTTAAATTCGGACTTCAAAAGTGAACGGCCACTTATCAGACTGACGTCCACCAATTCAACTAAGCAAACGTAGGATAAGCATACATTGCCCCCTCTTGTAAAAAGTAATTTTCCATTAAAAACATTTAAAAAGACTACCTTAAAAATTTATATAATCAACATAAAAATTCAAAATAAAACGTCTGCAATTTTAAAAAGGGTTAAAATGCTCATTTCTTCCATATTTGTATGCTTCGTTCATTTATTTTAATATTTTATGACGCTTCACTCAAAATTAAAATGTGTTTTTTCTCTCCCCTTTTCAGTTCCATCCCCTTTTAGATGAAAAAATGTCACTCATTCCTTGCTCTTTAATTTCTTTATCATCATCATCATCATTGAAGTCATTATAAAATGTATCACATATATATTCAGTGTGTACACATACTTACGTAGTCAAGTAAATTGTCTTATGTGAAAATGTGAAAAATTCTTATGCGAATCACATTTCAACGAAACTTGATTATTAATTTAAATCTTCATCTTATGAGAATTTCAATTAAGAATTTTTGCGCTTTTTGCCTTTTATTATTATTATACGCACGCGAATGTGAAATTATGGGATGGTGTGCTGCTTTTTTTGTGCTTATGATTTGGATTAGGGGTTCTGACTTGAATCGAATGTAGTAAAAGTTTTAAACTGAGTGAACTGTGAATAAGAGAACTTTCTTGAGATTTATAATTTAATTTGATAGGAGTTGAACCTTGTCTTTTCTTTTTTGAACTTCAATTTCAATATTTTTACGATGACTAATTTGACATTTTCGAAATCATATCTTTCCCCTCTCATTAGAACCCCCAAAACCCCATCTTTTTCATTTTTATAAACTCCGCACATCTATATTGAGGGAGTAAAATTATATATTCTAGATATAAGACATAAAAAAAGATGAACAATTAAAATTTTATAACGCTTGACTAATATTTTCTCTCATTTTTCCTTCCTCATCGCAATTGTTTACTTAATTAAATATTAAAATGATGAAAATTTTCTTCGTACTAATTGAAACATTTTTTTTGCTGTCTGTAGAGGAATATGGATTTTTTAAAATATTAAATAGTGGAGTTTGTAAAAAATTAAAAATTTACATTGAAAAATAAAATCAGAAAAATATTCAAAAACGATGAAATTCGTGCTTCAAGACAACTGAAAATTTAGGAATCCAAATTTTATTTTCTCAGATTTTTTCAATCAATTTATTTAAAACCTAAATTTCTTGAAAACTAAAATAACAAAAACACACTCAAATATAGTCAAATCCAATTAAAGATGTTAAAAGTCTGAAAGTTAAAAGTAACAACACCAAAAATATTTGATTTTATAATTTTTATATTTTCTTGCGTATTTCAATAATTACATTTTTAATATGTACAAAAAAAGATTCTTTCCATCTTTACTTATCTTGCAATTTACTTTTTTTTTCATTATGAATAAAATTCTTTTATTTAATATTTTTTAATTTATTTGCTACAATTTAAAAAAAACTGAGAAAAGAAAAAATAATAAAAAAGTGAAATTAAAGTTTAAATTTTTTTCGCTTTTTTGCGAATGAAACTTTTATTTAAAAAAATTCAAATTAAATTTTTCAATTCTTTTTTCTATCATTTTTCTTTTCATTTATTTTTTTTTGTTCGAAACTAAACATATTATCACAAAAAATTATTGGTATACACATTTTGCAAATTTGTCTCTTACATCGAAATGAATAAAAATTGAAATAATTTTTTTTTTGTTTGTGTTTTATGCAATTTTTTTACAACTAAGTGCTTTAATTGAAGAGTTTTTTGTGGGTTTTTCTTGAATAAAATTTTTTTCTTTTATTTTTTCATTTTTTCGAATTTTTGTGGAAGTTTCAGCTGAGGCGAGGGAAATTTTTATTAAATCAAATTTAATTGAATTTTTACAAATTATCAAAAAATTAACCTTCAAAATTAGTTTCAAATTTTTATAGTTTCAAAACTTAAAATTTGCTTAAACTTGAAAAATCATTTTTTTTAAATTTTAAGAATTCACAATTTTTTTTTGTACAATTTTTTATGAGTTTCCAAAAAAAAAACTGTTATCTCAACCGAAACTTCAATCAATCGTCATCGCCTTTTCATTTTTGATTTTAATTTTTTTTTAATAAGACATAAAATGTTATTTTGCTCATTTTTTACAAAAACAAAGTCAATGCCGAATATTTTTGTGTACAATTTTTTTCTAAATATTTCTTTTTACATGATTTATTTTTCCTTTAATTTCCTCAAATTAAAATTAATTGAAAAACTTTTTGAAAGTTTTCATTCTTCTTTTTTTAAATATTGATCGGTATTTTTATAGAAATTTGAAAGCTTTTGGGGGTCTAATAAGTGTGTTGGGGGTTCTTGAAAGTCTGTTTAAAAATTGTAAATTAATTTTCAACTTCAAATTATTTATAAAAAATTTGAATTCTCATCTGTTTCAAATAACCTAATGACGACCCTGTCAAATCTCCCAAACCCCAACATTTCACTTCCTCAACTTTCATTTCTTCGACTTTTTGCCATCAAACATTAAAAAAAATTCAATTAAGCAAAAAGTAGACGCAAAATAATCATCCGGAACAGATAAAAATCTTCTTTTCTCTATTTTCTAACAATATCAACATCCTGTCACGCCATCTATAAGTTTATTGAACTTTCTTTCATCTTTTTATTGCAAAAAACATAAAAAAAATTGCAATCATTTACTTAGTCAATAACTTTTTTATATTATTTTTCTTATTCTGTCTTGCATTACAACTGTGCAGGTTTATTTATTTATATCGTATCCATTCATCCATACTTCGATTAAGTATTCAAAATTCTTGATTTTCTTATCTGTGTGGGGATTATCGTAGGGGTAGGTGGGTGGTAATAGAAATCAAAATTCAGGGAAGGAGTGTCATTTTATTTTAAGGGGTTCATGAATTTATTTTAGGGTCAATTGACATTTACAATCATTTAAGACATCCAAAATAAATTCATAAATCCCCCGAAAAAAAATTGCAAATAAAAATTAAATAAGGAACAAGTGCAACGACCCCCTTTCCCCCTCAAAAATATATTACCCAGACCCATAAAAGAGTCCTCAACCAAAAAAAAAAAACTATCAATGGACGAACTGATGGGTGTGAGGCTATATAATTGGGACAGATAATTGTGACGTGGATGAGTGGGTGGGGGTGGCTATAGTAGTAGTACATATGTATTTAAATTGTATGTAGATAGAGCTGTACACTTTCGCTTTTAATTCGCTTTAATTTGATATGTCAAATGTCTGTCTGTGTGTTATTTTATTTATTTTAAATTCTCCATCGTCTCGCTCTCACTTTAAAATGAAATTTTTTTTATCAATTTCTAATTTTTTTTGTTTTATTTTGTAAAATTCATAGACACATTTAATTAATTTTTTTCATTTTAAATTACTTCATTTTTCATAAACTTTTTTTTTTAACTTTATACACAAAAAAGTCTTTTTTGCATTTTTTTAAGTGGACCATTCATCAAGTTAGTCGGATATTCCCGCGCACAATTATTTCTTTTGATTCTATCAACTCGCAGCAATATTTTCTGGCATTTCATTCAACTTGTTGCACCATTTCTTGAGCTCTGGCTCATCTTTGTATGCAAAATCCTCATCATTAGACTCCTTTTCAATGCCATTCTCTTTGCCGTCATTCATCTCGTCGTCTTCATCGCCAACATTGTTTTTATCATCACCGCCGTTTGTATAGTTTGATGGTGATCGCGATTTTTCCAATTTTATTGCAAAGTTTATCTGTTGATTATTATTGTTGATTGTGGATTGTGAGTCGCTTGTGTGTCCACCGCCTGATGACATTCGAGATTCATCGCCAGAATTTGAGTTGCCAAACATGTCACGAATTTTGTGGGTTAGCATGTGCTGTTGAGGAGAGAAATTAGGAGAAATTTAGTATATTTGAATTTGGATGTCGATGATTGAGTGGGTTTGTGAGAAAATTTAAGTCAACATAACCTCAAAATCTTAAAAAAATTTAAATTTGGAAATTAAATTAAAATCTATATTCTGGAGGTCTGTACGACTATTTTTGATTATTATCTTAAGTTGACTTAATAGATTCATGTCAAAAGGGTCTGATTGAGTCCCTTGCTACAGTTCATAACCAAGAACTTAAAGGACATTCGTCATTAATTTCTCAATTCCACTCTACATAACCAAATGTGAGATGCACGCATAATTCACATTGCAGCTCACAAAAGTCGCATTTCTATAAGTCAGCATATCGCCTTTAATTACCTGTTTCATATTGCCCTGCAACGATATAATAAAATAATAAATTTTAATTTAATTTATATTCTCAATTTTTTTTTGCATTTAATATAAAAAATTTCACATTTGTCTGAGTATTATTTTTATCATTTTTCATATACATTGTCACACATCGCTTGAAGCTTTAAAAATCCGGCACAAAAAATAATATATAATGAATTAAAATGTTAATCAATAAATTAATCGACACAAATAAATGAAATTGCGCTGTTTTTTGTTTTTGTTCTCTTTAATGAAAATTAAATATAATTTTTTTTTTCATTCTGTCCATTGTCGTTACTGCTGCTGTCTTTTTTATTTATGGCATATTTGATCATTTGTCAATATATTTTATAGAATTTTATGTCGCTTGTTTAAAAAAAGGGGTTTAATGATGATTAATTGAACTTATTATTAATTGATTTAGTAATTGTCAATAATTGACATCGAGATGAATGGTGGAAATTTGCTCAATGGAACTTTATGTAAGCTTTTTGATTTGAGAGTTGACTATGTTCATTGATAAATTGGTAGGCATGGAAAATGTGTTAATTTAGATGTAAAGGGTGTGTCAAGGCTTTGAAGTTTGATAATGTAGATTTTTACAAAATTTGAAACTTAATTTTAATTGAAATGATTTTGAAACTTAAGATATTTGAAATCTAGTCTTATATTCTATTAAATATTGAATTCAATGTTAATCTAGTCCAATTTTGTTTAAATCTAGTCTCGTTTTGTTTAAATCTAGTCCATTTTTGTATTAATCTAGTTCAATCTCTATAAAAGTTAAACCAAAATTACCAGTATTCTAGTTCCATAAACGAAAATCAAGTACATTTATTTTAAACTAGATTATAATTTAACCCAAAAAAGGGAAAAAAATCTAGTTCAGAATATCAAATTCTTGTTCAAACGTTCAATTAATCTAGTACAATTCAATTATTCTGTCAAATAATCAATCAAACGTCTCAAGATGCCCCAAAATACCAACTTGAATCCTCTCAAAAGAAAATCAGTCCACAAAATCTCTTCACTCAGCCCACAAAGCGTCAAAATTAATCCCTGATAGTCATTATTTAATGACTTGTAATTCAAAATTTTTTTATGTAAAATTTCAACACGACGAAAATTTATATTTTTCAAAAAAAACATTATTTTTCTTGAATTTTCCACATTTACACAATAAAAGAAAATTGAGATGAGTTTATTTTAAGACAAGAAATGCGATTAAAAGCGATTTAAGTTGAGGAAACGCGACTGCTATAACAAAAGAAGAAGTCACTTTTTGTGTATTTGTCACATTCGTTCTTCTTTTTTGTTTCTCATTCTCATATTGTTATCTTACGGTGGCATTTAATCCGACCGCTTGATGATGATCATCATGATGTGAGAGAAATAAAAAAAAAGTGTGTGGAACATAATGTGACAATATATTTTGGCTCAATATCAAAACATTTCTAATATAAATCTATTCATTTTCATTCTCAATTTCATGCCTTTACAGCACACGAAAATAAATAAATATAAATTTTTTTTTCTTTCAACTTGTATTGCCGCGATGAGTTTTTCTTTATTAATTTATTTTCAGCACTATTGTTAAATGTGTGTTGTTATTATTTAAACATAGATGAATAAAATTAAGAGAATATAATGTGCCTATCAATTTTCTTACGCGCACGATCCCCTTCGTTCATGCTATAATTGCTTTTGGCGGATATATGTTGAAAGAGTTGTAAATTATCGTTGATAATTAGATAATCTGATTGCCTACATGAGTTTTTCAGATGTGAAGGTTAAAATTCGCATGAACTAGAGGATTTTTAGCTCTTTTTGTTGATTTGATGTTTTTGTGGGATTGGATGTTTTATGGGTTGGTGGTTTAGGGGCTTATTGAGATATTTTGAGGGTCAACAATGTTAACTAAGGTAAGATGTGTTTAACAGTAAGAAGAGGAAGAGGAGGGGTTGGGGTTGTAGGACATAGACCTATTAGAACAATGTCAAACTTAAAAGACAACCTTAATCTTCAAAACTTATATTAAGTCGAGAAACTTAAGTTCGAATCTCATAACCTAAATTATGAAAACTAATACTAAATCAAGAAACCTAAGTTTGAATCCTTCGACCTAAAGTTTGACTACAAATTTAAGTCAAGAAACTTAAGTTTGAATCCCATAAAACAGGCCACAGTTCAAAAATCACGTTGATTACATTAAAGATCTCTCAAACTATCTCAAAAATCAGTGAAATTTATAAAATTCCGACAAAAATACTTTAAAATTCAACAAAGTCAATCAACTTCATCCCAATCACCATAAGATAAATTTCCTCATCTTACAGCGATCTTCTTCTGCTTGCGAAAATTTCAACTTTAATCAAATGTGTCAGGCCATTAATTCTTTAAATTTTCATTCACAAAAAAAAAGCTGCAAAAAAGAATTTTTCTTTCATTGTCTGACTGTACTTAATGTTGTTTCAAGAGTTCTCAGCTTTCCTTTGAAGTCTCCATTGTGATTCTCTTTCCTACATCAATAGATATAAATTTTTTTAAGAGAAATTTCTCGTCTTTGCTTAGAAATCAATCTATATTTATCACAGTCAGTAACAAAGGAATTTATTTTCTATATATTTGATTTGATATATTTTCTGTGCCACACAATGTGATGCTTGTTGTAATGTGTTGACGAATGAATTGAAATGATTTTTTTTTTTTTTATTAAAATCTAGATTACGATGTGAGTAAATTGGATTAAGCAGCTTTAAAAATTCAAATTTAAATTTCTTCAATTTTAAATTCAATTTTTTTAATTGTTTTCAAAAAAATAAAATTTTTAAAAAATTTGACAATTATAAGATTTAAAAAAATAAAATTAAAATTTTATAAGATTTAAAAAATTAAAATGAAATTTTATAAACCTTTAAAAAATAAATTAAAATTTTATAAATCTTTGAAAAATAAATTAAAATTTTATAAGATTTAAAAAAAATAAATTTTGTAATTCAAATACAAAATTATATTTATAAAATTACAAACTTTAATCCCAATCTAGTTTAAGTCGTAAATACTCAGACAAATTCGAATAATTTTTTACAATTTATTTCAGATGCTTTAAAAAATTTGAAACTCACCTTTGTGGAAAAGCCGCGATCGCAAATTGTACACTATAATTTTGAAGATAAGATGATGAGAAAATATTGTGGAATTAGTCAATTTGTTGTAGATTTTTTTTTTTTTGGTAAGACATTTTCCAAATGAGTTAGAAATTTTTTAACGAAGAATTGATCTTTAAGGTGAATTTTTAAGTTTAGACGAACTTTTGATAGCTTTAAATTAATTTAAGAATATACTGTACAAGTTTTAGCCAAATCATGCAAAAAGTAATTTATACAAAAATCAAAAATAAAAGGTTTAAATCCTAATAATAATTCATGGAAATAACATATTCTTCTATATCATTAGGTCGTATCCCATTTTTTTTCCAATCAAAAAAATTTTAAGCTGCATAAAAAAAGAAGTCGTTCCTACCTTATAAGGTCGTTCTTTGGTGTGACTACGATAATGTATTTCTAATGCAGAGTTGCAGGCAAAAGTTTTAAAGCAAATGTTGCACGTTGTCGTATTACCACGTACACCTTTTGAACAAATCTATTTTTAATTAATTTTGAATTTTTCATCATTAATTGATTTTGCAATATTACGTCATATTAGACGCAACGATGCTCAATACTCACCGAATAGTCCAAATGGTGGCATATTAGCTGCTGACGGTACGATCGGTACATTTGTCATGAATGGTGGACGATTTATGAAGGGCGGAAATTGTGGCATGCCTAAAAAAGGTGGTCCATATGGAAATGGTGGACGATCATTAGCTGGTGGTGTTGCAATCGGTGAACGACTTGATAATCCAGATGGTGGTGTGTGACGATTCATTTGGGGACTTGATGAGCGCAGTCTTTTAGCTTCTGATATGCTCGGACTTACAGGCGACGAGTCACGTGAATAGTCATCATTTGATTGCACTGATAAACGTTGCAAGTTCATTGCTCTCAAGTCTTCGACATGATTCTCAAGGTCGGGTGACGTGAGGCCTGTCTTTACACGAATTCCTTCGCTGACGTTATTACTACTACTATTATTATTATTGTTATTACTACTCTTCTTTTGCACCTTGCCAGATTTTTCGCGTATTTCACGCTCACGTGTCTCACGTTCACTACGATCATCAGTCATTTCAACATCATTCTCGTCATCCGAATGATCAACCGTAGCGGAACGTTTTTGTGGTTGAAAATCAGGCATTCGGAGGGCATATGGAGGCATTTGCATCTCTTTATGTTCAGGAAATTCACGAATTTCAGCTGCACGAATTTGATCAGGTGTTAAGTCTGTCATCTCGCCCGTATGTAGTCGAATGTGCTGTTGTAGGACGAAGATGTTTGAGAACTTTTGATGACACACTGGACATTGGTGTAGTGTGCGCATTGGTGGTTTGATTCGGTGGACACTCATGTGAGTCTTGAGGTTTCCTTTTGTCGTGAATGATCGACCACAGATCTTACATCTATATAAGGAATTAATTTTGAGGTTAGGTCAAATATATTTTACAAATATTGTTAATCTTACCTGAAAGGACGTTCGCCGGTATGAACACGATAATGCATTTGCAATGCACTTCTACATGACAGCACCTTCTTACACACCAAACACTGATTTGGCTCAATATTCTTATTATCAAGGTTGTCCACAAGCTCCTGTAACTTGGATGTCTCAGATGATATTTCAATGAAATTCTCCCACGAGCTATCATTGCTATCAGGTCGAGGTAGATGAGCCGAAAAGTAATTTGGATCGAGTACAGTGTCTTGATAAAGTGAACCAGATGTACTCGATGAGCTACTTGGCGGCGACACAGATGGAACTTTTGCCAAATTCTCAATCGAATTGTTATTTTTCATAGCTCTAATATTAAATTCCTTATCTTCACGTTCACGTTCGCGCTCATGCCTCTCATGTCTATCGTGTCTTGATGATCGGGCTGGTCTCTCATTTGTCTCATCCTTTTCTAATCTTATATGATGATGAAGTGGTAGTTGTTGTTGATGATGATGATGATGATGATGATTGTTACTATTATTACTATTACTATTATTATTTGGTGATGAAATACGTAGCGGTTGTGTAATTGCCGGCGGTCTCGCTGTTTGTATCGTCGAGTCATTTGACGATGAATTCTTTTGTGATTTGTCACTCAAATCTAAAGTTTCATCAGTCGGTTCCTCTTTGATTGTTTGCTTTGGTGTCTCTTCTTCATGAATCGTAACTTCGGGTGATAAACGGAAAGTAGGTGATTCTGGTTTCTTAACTTGTGATAAATCGACTGGATTTCTTGAAACAGCAGCTGCTATATCATTAGCGGCAGCAGCAACTGAATTGAATAAGTCGAGAGGTGGACGTGGCAGGTAAAAGTCAGGAAAGAATCCACGTTGGGGAAACTGTCTTGAATCGATACTAGGAAATGGTGGTGTTGTTTGAGGTGGTGCAGTTGGCATCTCCTTTAATGCCTCAGATGGTACGAGAGGTGGGAAATATTTATCCAAATGCTCAGGAACTGGATTAGGATTCATCGGTATATGAGGATATTTATCCGAATGCCGTTGAAAATGAACTTTTAAATTTCCTTTTGTTGTGAATCTACTTCCACACACATTGCATCTAGTTTATGGAAAATTTTGAGGTAATGAAAAAATATTTTGAGGTTATGAGAAGTCAAAATCTTACTTGTAAGGACGCTCGCCAGTATGTGATCGGATGTGTATTTGCAGCGATGAATCTGAACCAAATATTTTACCACAATATCGACACCGATGCTTAAAAAGTGCCGAATCTGTTCGTCCATTTGGCGATGCCTTATCATTCGCAAATGCTAATTCATCTAAAAGATTATTTGATAAAATTCCTTGTGATGCTGAATTAAGCACCTCTTGTGCCTTCTTCTCTAACATAGCTAATGAATTTGTCGATTCATTTATCTGCGCCGTTGGATCATGATCTGTGATGATATTTGATGCTAATGAGAAACTATTTGAATATGAACTTATGCTATCGTCGTTTTGCTTCTTTTGGGCGAGACTCTCGGGATCGCTGCAATTTTCTTGACTTTTTGTTTTAGCGATTCTGTGGATGAGAAGGGAATTTGATTAGGATTATGTTTTTGGGGTTTGAACTTTGGAATATTGTGACTAAATGTCTTTTATGCTTTAAATTATTTTTAAGGATGATTGGAAAAAAATTAAATTTATTCAAAGAATTAAGTTCGAATCTTAACACCCCCAAAACTAGCAACCCCATCACTAACCTATTTTCACTCTCCTTCATCAGACTTTCCTGCATCTGACTGAAATGTTTACTTTCCATTAGTCGCTTATGAATTTGATTTTGTCTCTCGTTCATTTGCTGTTCATCAATTTCGTCATCCATTTCGCCATCCTCCTCTTCAATATCATTATCCTTCATTTTACAATCTTGCTCCTCATCATCCGATTCGGACTTGCCATTATTTTGCTTCTCCTCTTCGCCGTCATTCTTTTTCACTAATTGCGACTGCAAATGCTGAATTAATTGAAATTGAAGAAACTGTTGTTGCTGTAATGTAAAAAGTGCAGACTGCAAGATCGCCAAATTTTTCATGACAGTTTCATTATCCATATTGTTTGCAATTGCATTTGCCGTGAATTGCGCAATGGCATTTTGGAAGGTTTGCATTGACATGCCCGGTTGAAACATGGCTGCTGCATTATTAAACAATGCATTTGCCTCATTCATTGCAGCCGATGCAGCGGCCGCTTGATGCGCTTGCATTTCCAATGCACTTGATTGACTGAAATTTATTTCACCCGGCTCCGTTTCATTGTCATCAGCCGTTGAATTTTCATCATCTGGCTCATCCTTTCCAATTGATTTTCCATTCACATCCTCTAAATTTCCATTTACATCCTCACCCTCATTGTCGCCAATGCCACCGCGCGTCGTCTCACATTCAGCCATACCAAACACTGGTGATTCTGATATTAAATTGTTGTGTTTCTTTTGCTTACTACTGCTGTTACGACTACTGTTATCGATTGAATTCTCTTTGTCATCACAAGACGTTTCCTTTAAATCTGTTATCGTGGTTGATGCGGGTGGCGTTATATGGAATGAGAAGAATTAAAGGGATAGATTAGTAAGGATTAAATTGATTTTTTAAAGTTTTGATTGAAGTTGCAATTTAAGTTTGTGATTTGTCATTTTAAAATGGTGCAGTTTTATAGAATTTTTTTAAATAATGTCAACATGCAAGGGTTCAATTCCCATCAGAGTTTAGCGATAATTTATATAACGAATATTAAATAGATTTTAACTTTTTATGTAGATTTTTTAAAAACTATCATTAAGTCCCATACCAGCAAACCAGAATCAATAAAATTATGAAAAGAGCTTCATATCGATCAACATTAAGCAAAATGGAAAAGGCAGTCCAAAACCAGTTTTTGTGTGTGTCTGACATTCTCCTCCGTTGTTTAATTTAAGCACCAAAACATCTTCTTCATATTTTTTTTTTCATATAAATTTAATGTGTTTTTGGTCTCTGTCGCTAGCTCCATCTCACTCACACAACTCGCGCGGATGATAATGAAGAATGAAGAGAATCGAAAATCGATTGTAAATTAATAAAGTTGAACATATAAATGCGAATATTTAACTTTAGACAATTCTCTCTCTCTCTCGCGGTTCCCATGTAATGTTCATAATATGAATTACTTCAAACAATACGACAGAGACAACAAAAAACAAACTGGATTCATAATGGCAAACTCTCTTTACGTCCAGACAGCAATCTTGTATTATTATTACTACAAGACTCACAATAAAGGGAATAAGAGAATGAAATAAAAATAAAAAAAGATGAAATAAGTTCTTGAAACATAATCATTTTTTTAAAAAATAAATAAAATAAAATGAATAAGCAAAATAACATGCTTTTGCGATTGGCTGATTGGCTTTAACTCTCTCGTTGTGTGTCTTTTTTTTTGTTGTGCTGTAAAATGCACAATTTTTGTATACTTTTTTTTGGCAAACATGGCAAAACACAACGAGAGATGCATAATAAAATTTTTGAATTTTTTTTTTTCAGCATGTTTTTGTAGCGAGAATTTTATTTGGAAATAAAGTTGGAGATTGGGATTTGGGTGCTGTGTGGCTTGGTGTCTGGATGAATTAGGGATTGGATTTGAAATTTAAATATTAGGGAGAAGAATTGTTCAATTTGCAGTCAATAAACTCTTTCCAAAAAATATCTAATCTAAGAGTTTTAACCCCTATCCCCTTGCCATACTCCTGCTCAGACTTGTTTCCATATCCAATCATAAAATTCTTTAAATCTTAACTTTTACAACAATTTATTAAAAGTTCTTGATGAGATAAATTAAATTCCTGGTTGAAGTTTGAGTTCGAATCTCATAAATGCAATTATTAATTGCCTTTTCCGTTGATATATGTGAAATTAATTTTTTTTTGTTACTAAGGAATCGTTCACTTGTGACGTCCGTAAAAAAACAAAATTTGTTTGGAAAAACAATTCCTTTTTTGTAGTTGTCGCATATACCAAGACTTCTGCTTCCTTAAATGTTGAACTGAAAATGCGCTTTAATCTACCTTCCTCGATTTTTTTTTACTTTTAAAAGATTTTTTTTCCTCTCAATAATCCTACCAAAAAAACATTACATCGACTTCTTATTATTCATCTTGGTAAATATTCAGTGGACATAGTGGAGGAAATGGATTGAAAATATTCAACATGAATAATTTAAAATGTTTTTTGAAAAAAGAAAAAAATTGAATTGGGAAAATATGTTTGTTTTATTTTTGTTTTGAACTTATTGGCGATTTTGGTTTTTTTTAAATAAAGAATTTGATTTTTTAAGAAAAATTTGATCTTTCAAGGGGTCGTTCACTTATGACGTCCATCAAAAAACTTGATTTTTAGAACCACCCCCACCCACCCTCTGTCACAAAAATTCTATAGAAAAAAATTTACATTGTTTGAACTGTCGCAAAATCCTAGACCCCCCCCCCCCCCCCTAAATGTCAGACGTCATAAATGAACGGCCCCTAAGGAAAATTTGATTTTCAGTTTTGATATTATTTTTGAAAATAATAATGTAAAGAAAAAATAAATTTAAAGTTGAACTCTATCATCAAATACTGAAGCTTATTATAAATTGAGATTTGAACCTTCTTATTATTGCTATTTTCGATGCAAATAACAATTTTTTCAATTTAATTATATATAAATAATGACTAATTTTGATAACCAAACTTGCATAAATCGCAAATCGCATCCAACATCAAACCTATTTCCTCCTAATCGATCCAATTCTAACGCAAACCGTTACTTAAAAAAAACAGTCTCGCAAAAGACAATTTTCCCATGTCAAACAAACCATTCAATAAATTTAAATCATTTAATATTCAAACATTTCTTTATTTTGTCTATATCTATATCTATTTATCCAACCTTGCCCACATCATCAGTAATATTATTATCATTTACGATTATTGAAATGAATAAAATCAATGGATGTTCATGAGGAAAAGAAAAACATTTTTTTTTTGCTTCTTCTTTCAATTCCTTCTCATCGCAACACTATCTCAGCTCTGAGCTTGTCTCATACATATTTTTGAAAAATATAAAAAATAATAAAAGAGATTACATGAATTGCCAATAACATCATTTGTAAATTATTTCCAGAAAAATGCTTCAATAAAATACCATTCAGTAAATGCAATGCAATGGGAAGTCAATGAGATAAATATTTCATGCATTTATATTTTTATTTATTATGATATTAATATTATTTATGCACGCTTTGCTGTTGAGCGTGTAAAAGCTGCTACATCATAAACATTTTAATTTTATTATGCAAAAATTAGCGAAAATTAAGGGCGTTGTACTGGGGGAACGTCTCATATTTTGGATGTAGGCTTACTAAACCTACTAAGGTTCATCTTTCTGATTGTAGGTTTCATTCCTAGTGTTCTGTAAGTTGAAACTAGCTTTTCCTAGCTAAACCTTTGCATACTTTAGGGTTTTATCTTATTTAAATCCGGAACCCCTGCATCAATCCTTCGATAACCGACAAACGATTGCAAAGGTCAAAAAAAATTAAATTCAGATAGACATCACATCCATCTAACCCCCTGACCCCACTTTATTGAATTAAAATTGTCTCATTCTTTGTACTCATTTTGTAATTACTTAGATGTAATAATAAGCAATGATAATTATACGTTCAATAAAATTTCTTGTGATGTTTTTGCTTTGAAAACATGCCAAGATGACCGTTCGGATGAAATAAGACTGATTGTTGTTGTTTTTTGTTAAGAATGAGATGAAATATGAGGAATTTATTTTTATTTGGGATATTAGGGCAATTATAATCGCTAGTTTTGGTGTTTTTGAGAAGTTTATTAGTGTAGAGTTAAGAGAGGGGCACCTTAGAACATCACACATTGCCAAATAACTTTACAACCCCCAAACAACATGAACAACCCATAATAATCCCAACTGTACCCCAAAACCTTCCAATATCCTCAAAAAAACACGAGAAAGCACATTCAACATTCTAATTGTCATCAAAAAATCTACATACAAACAGCACCCATGTGCCTTCATATATACACGAGACACACAAAATAGTAAAGATGACACACTCTCTATAAGCTTGTACATAAGGACCATTATATACAAAATTCGATTTGCGTGCGCCTGTGGTAGTAAAATTGTGTTATTTATTGTAAAATTAAAGCTGACTTGAAAATGATATAATTTGACATTAAAACCATTCATTTAATTTTCATTCTTATGTACTCATTAAGTGGCACTGTCACAATAGTTATTTATGTATATAATTTTGAGAGTATATAGGATCATGTGGATGTGAAAATTTAATGCAGATCTATCGCGTGTTTTTTTTTTCGGTGTGCTTTTTAAGTGTGCTTTAAACATTTAATGAGGAATTGATGAAAATATTGATTATTTTTGGATGGTTGGGGTACATAGGGGTGCATTAAGGTTTTTGAGGCATTTTTGAGCATGAATGACTTTAAAAATGATGAAATTGTAGATTTTAATGGTTTTTGTTGGTCAATGAATTGGAAATTCCAGGGATTTCTCAACTTTAGGTTAAAACATGGTCGGATGTGGATGACCATATGAACTTAATTCAGGAAGAATATTAGCGATTTTTCTAACAACCATGAATCTTCTGTGATCATATTAAGGCAGATTAGGTTCGAATCTTATCAAAAAAATTTAAAAAAATTTTCAAATTCATCCCTGAAACCTTCAGATCTCGTCATCCAAAATCTGACAAAAGAATTTCAACAAATCAAAGCCCTTAAGATGTCAAATCAACTTAAAAAGCAAAAAATAAATATTCCAAATATATCCACATCTTATGATCCACATGCTTCACATATGTGCTAATTTGTGAATGTTATAAAATTCTTGATTTATAATTCAAATGACTATAAATTTATATTTTATTTCATTTCGTTGTTCCATATTTTTTAATATACATTTTTTTGCTATTTTAACTTTCATTTTTATATAAAGCATATGACAGGAGCTGAAAAAAAGCTGCTCTCAAATATAAATATTTTTTTATGAAATCAAGTTTCCAAAAATAAATTATTAATTTTTTTGTGCTGCTGTCGTCTTTTTTTCTGGTCTTGACTTTTGCTTTTAATGAAAATATATAAAATAAAAAAAATATGAGAGGTTCAAGAATATTTTAGATGATAATTTACTGTTGTGACGCTTTTGCAGAAACATTCTTTAATGGACCAAGCTAATAACTATCAACAACTGGTTCCGTCATATTTTGTCATCAAAATTTACCCCAATGACATTTATCATATCTTAAAAATATTGGATTAAGATGCAAAACTATCGGCATCGCGTGACCTCCGTCGAAGCAAATCCTTTTCTCACGCCATCACTTCCAACACTCTTTGCAAAATGCATGCAAATTTTTTTATTACCGAAAAAATTTGTTTTTGTGCAAATAAAACAGTAAAAATCTGTTTAGTAATCTGAGATAAGATGACAATGATGAAT